GGAATTACTTGAATTTTTCTGCAAATCCTCTCTCAAGATATCACAATCTTTATATTGTTACATGTTTACACAGGATATATTCACACTGAAAGCACAGTCCAGCAAAGGACAGTTATAAATTTTTTGAAAAATTAATCAAATGCAAAGCAAATACCAATATCATAGAAGGCAAAGGAAAGACAAATTTTAACTACAAGGATTAATAAAATTTCTGAAACTTTGTTATGAATTTTTCTCCTTATTTTTTGTTCACCTGATCAAAGAGCAAAATAGGCTGGGGATTTAGCTCAGCGGTTTGGTGGCCTGCCTTGCAAGCGCAAGGACCCAAATTCAATCCCCAGTACAAAAAAAAACAAAGAGCAAAACACAAAAATATCATACCCCAGAGACAAGAAGTGTACCATTTTCTAATGGATACAAAGCATTGTATTTTTATTTTATTACATTATTTCATTATTATATTTTATTATTTTTGTATTATAGTTTTGTTAGTATTATTTCTACTACCACAAGTATCAGATGAACCCTGAATCAAAGGACCAAAAAGAACCAGGGATTTAGCTCAGTGGCACCGTACCTGCCTTGCAAGTGCAAGGTCCTGAGTTCAATCCCTGGTACTGGAAAAAAAAACGCAGGTACCAAACATGATAGCTTCCACTTCATGTGGATAGGAGGAATAACTCATGCCATCCATAACTCAATGAGTTGCATATACCCTATAATCATTTTCTATGCATTTAACTATTTCTCAATAAACTTTGATAATCCACAGCTTACCTCATGGAACGTGTAAAATTCCCAATCAGTTTCAGCAATATTAGATTGTGATTAATTTAATAGTATAAATTATTATAAAAGAATGAAAAGCATAGCTAAATACATTTTATAACAATGCTAGAATAGAATATCAGAATTACTTAGTGGCCATCTCTACAATTTCCTGTAATAGTATTTGAAAAGTCATCTCATTGTCTTAGTTTTCATACACAGAAAGTGGGAAAAATAAGACACACATCCGAATACTTGGATAAATGGAATCTCATTCTTAGTTTTCATACACAGAAAGTGGGAAAAATAAGACACACATCCGAATACTTGGATAAATGGCCCCTCTTTCTTGTTCTACCAAGGTTTGCATAATCTAGCTTGAACCTCATCGACAAGCAACAGCGTTTATGCGGCAGAGAGGAAAGAGCGGGTTTAATGCCTGCTTAGTCCACAGATATTACAGCAAAACAGCAAATTTCTTAAACGTAGTCTGAGTGAAATCATAAAGGAAAATCATTTACCCACCATACAGGACTGTACTTGAGTCCATACAAACTGACTGCTCTAAGAAGCAGCTATCTTCATAGACAAAAGGAATAGTTCTTGATAATTCATATCTAACACAAACATCTACCCTAAAGAAAGCCATAAAAGGACAATTCATATTTTCTACTTATTATTGTGTCAGTTGTGGTAAATTGAATTTTCCTAGTATCTTTATTGATGTTTCAAGCTTGTTGGCATAAAATTGTCCATAATACACTTAATTAAAATTTAATATCTGCGGAATGTATGGTGAGATCCTTGTTTATTATCCCTGACATTGGTTATTTCTAATCTCCTTTATAAAAAGAATTTGACAAGGATTTGTTATTTTTAATTTTTTGTTAGTGCATGCTTGCAGCACACACACTTTGCAATCAATCATCTTGGGAAGTTTGTAGAGATACATAACACAGCTTTTTTTTTTTAATCCCTTTCTCTCCTGCCTCCTTCCTTCTTCCTCTAACTCCACTTTCCCTCTTTTTCTTCTTGTTGATATTATTAATCTTGGCTCATGTTTATTTATCTTGTCATTATTACATCCTGTTTTCTACTTTCTAGGTGTTTACTGGATTTTTTTTCCTACTTTCACAAAACAGATGTTTAATACATTGATTTTTAGTCTTTATATCACACGTATATATACATTCAGTTCTTATGTACTTCATTACTTTTAAGTTAATAGATAAAATTGCATATAGATGCTGCTCAACTTACAAAGGAGTTATTCCGATAAATCATGGGATGTCCAAAATATCAAAAATCAAAAGTGCCTTTAATACATCTAACCTATTAATTATCAAAACTTAGCAATGTATTGTTTCTATTGATAAATCACATCTCAGTCTGTTATCCCAGTCTTCCTTACTATCTGCTTGTAAGATTCTTAGGAAGAACGTAATTTTGACCTTTGCTCTATCTGTTTAGAGTTCATGGGCCTTCTTGAAAACGTGACTTAGTGTCTTTCATCAATTTTGAATATAAATATGTCATAATTTATTTATCTTGTCATACTGATGAACATCTAGGATTGTTTGTAGATTTTTGCTATTTCACCAAGTCCTGTAATAAACATCTTTGTTCATGTCTCTCTGTGCACCTGGGAAAATATTGTTAGACAGAAGACTGTGTACATTTTAAATTCTTGACAGTTATTCACAACTTTCTCCCTGAAACACTTTCCCAGTTTGTACTTCTAGAAATATATGTGAATGCTCAATTAGTAGTAATACGACAAATTCCTTATTTCCGACAACACTATTAACTTCTATTCATGTTCTTAATGATTTTTCTTCTTTTTAATAATTAGTGTATTTATGGCCTTTGCTCCATTTACTATTTATCTAACTGCCTTTTTCATTTTATTCGTAAGAGTTATTTAATATTTGAAATAGTACTTTAAATGTGATGCTAACTGCTGCCTTAACTTTTTGTTATATTTTATAATTCAACATTTTAAAATGTATGTGGTCAAAACTATCAATCTTTTTCCTTCTGTGTTCAAAATTCTCATCACCCTTGTGAATTTTCATTACATGATGGTTTATCATCATAAATTTCATTTGATAATTCTGTATATATCGCACTAACCGTATTAATGTGGAAGAACTGTCATCCCTAAAATATTGACTCTCTCCATTCTTATGCAAGTCTTTTTGTGTGTGTGTCCTTCAGAGAAGGCTCATGTAGTTTCTTGATATAGGTACTGCATACTCCTTTTTAGGTTTAGTTTTACATATTTGAAGGATTTTATTTTTTATTGTGGATGCTTCTAAGTCTTTATGGTCTTATGTGATTTGTTTTGCTTTGTTGGTCTTCTTGTAGAGATTCTTATTGTTATACATATTTTTCTACTAGTTTAGTATAGATTTTATTAAGAATGAACATTTAAGTATATTAAATACTTTTCTATAATCTTTTGGGATGGGTATATGTCTTCTCCTTTTTTAATCTGTTAGTGTAGTTACTTGCTTTAATAGAACTGTATAAAGCTTGACAACTTTAGCATTCCTCAGACTGAATCATTTGATAGTTTTATTCTCTTTTAAAACATCATTATGTTTTATTTATTAATATTTTGGGAAGGCTTTTGCATCTATTTCAAAAATAAAATTGATTCATATTTCTCCTTTTCCCCCCTATTATCTGGTCTTTGTATATAGATTATGCTAGTTTCATGGCCGTGAGTAAAAAAGAAAAAAGAATTTCATCTATGTCCCTGTTATGAAACAGCTTGTAGAGCATCAGGATTATTGATTACTGAATAACTTTTTGTTATGATTTTTTGGCACATCTTTTCTAAACAATCTGAAATTGGATTATTCTACTACTACACACATCTCTATATTTCCATATGAAAATGCAGTCCATTCACAGCTGTGGTCAGAACACATTGAAATCTATGTTGTGTGTATGTGTGTGTTTGTTTTTTTGTTTGCTTTACTCCATTTGCTTGGAGTTTTTAAATTTTGAGTTTTTTCTAGAATTGAATAACCAAATGTTTGGGTTTTTTTTCCTTTATGGTTTGATAGTCATTATACCTTGTAGTACCTTAGAGTTTACTGTTATTTCGATTTTTTTCTTTCTGTGAACAGCTAAGGTTATTTAGTAGTATGTCACCTTAACTCAAACAATGACATCATCAATATTTTTATTTTCTTTAGATCCAACCACTTCTTTTATTAATTGTATATTATTCTTTTTTATTATATATCAGCAGTTATATAGTTGTAACTGTATAAATATATGTGTTTTATTTTGTTTGTTTTGTTGTACACTTTTGTTTCCTTTCTCATGTGTCCTGTGTGGACTATGTTTGTTACTGACATATTCTCAATTACTCTTTCAAGGAGATTCTGTGAGTGGTTATGTTTTTTAGCATTTGTGTGAGAATTCAGTTCTTCCACTAAGATGCAAAGTTCGGTAAAATGGGAAGGTTGGTTCAAAATCATTTTCTGGAGCTGAGGATTTAGCTCAGTAGTTTTGCTGCTTGCCTCACAAGGTCCTGAGTCCAATCCCTGGTACCAAAAAAGAAAAAAAAAGTATTTTCCCGAATGATGTTTAAGACATTTTTCATATTCTCCCTGGATCAAGAAAAGTCTTATATATATCCATGTTTTTTTTTCCTTTATATGAAATGCATTCCTCCCTCTGCAAGTTTCTAAGATTTTCATTTAATTATCATGGTTCTAAAACTTAGTATGATTTTTTTTATCCTACTTATGTTTCAGGGGAGGTCTTTTTATTTAAAAGTTTATGATCTTTGTTTAGCTATATAAAATGCTCTTTTTCTAGACAGCTGTGGTGGTACACACCTGCCATCCCAGCACTTGGGAGACACTGGAGCAGGAGGAGGATCACCACAGGTTAGAGGCAAGACTGAACTGTGTAGCAAGATCTTGTCTCAAAAAATAAATAAATAGGTCTTTAAATGCTCTTTTTTACTAATTGACCTCTATTCTCTCTATTGTCTCATTCTGAATTGCCATTAGGTGTTCGTGTATGTCTTTTTTTTTTTTTAACAGTCTGTTTCAAATCACCCTTTGCCTCTCTTTTATAAGAACACAAGAGAATGTGCCCAGGTGATACAGGATGAACTTCACCTCTCAGCATTCCTAACAATGCTGTCTTTGTCATGTAAATTAATGTTCAAAATTCTGTCCAGTGACATAATAGTTACAGGTTCTAGGAATTAAGAAGCAAGACATTGGGAGAAGATATTTATTCCATGTACCACAGAAAGGTAATTATAGATGAAAAATTGTATACATACATCACTACACCTACTCCTTTTTGTGCTAGCATCGAATGGCTCGGTGGATTAGCTAAACTGGTTCTTGTGCTGAGTTCTACAGATATTCAGTCTATAATATAGGCCTTGTAACATTTAATTCTTACCTTTTGTGAGCATATGGAGAAATGAAATGAGACAGGAGATAGCCACTTTATGAAAGGTATCATAGGAAGAATATAGGGCCTGTATTTTACACTCTAGGTTCCAGAATAAGACTTTGGGGTTACAACTAGAGTCCTGCCACTTATTAACTTAGTGACCTTGCTCTTTTCATTTATAAAATAAAGCTACAATATCTATTTTACAAATTTGCTCATAATTAAATGAGATAATTCATGTTTAAATGACTGGCATTCTGCCTGGCTTATCCTAAGATTCATCCTCTTCTTCTCTGCTATAAAAAAGGTTTTGTACACATTATCTGTATGAACACAAGCTTAGATCAGCACTTTTCATTTCAAGCAAGAACGACAAACATAGATAATAACTATTTAAATAATTAATGCTGGAACAAACCATTTACTGATGCTATGCATGGGAAACAGGAATTCTCCACTGTGACCTAATTCACGTCCTTGGTCAGTATATGCTCCCTTCTTTGTTCCAGAGAAGATTGATAATATTGTGTAAAAATGGCCTTATCGGGTCCTGAAAGTGTAGACCAGTAAATTGTAGTTATTGCTGCTGAAGTTCTTATCATTTACTTGCATTCTACAAAACACCACTGGCAAAGTTACTATTCACAAAGAGCAAACAAGGATGTGTTTAGAGGACTAATAAATAACCTAAATTCATTCCATGGGACTTGTATTTCCTTTTTCATCTCTAGCTAAATGGTTCCATTCTTCATTTCTACAGACTGGTAACATCAAGCCTGTGGATTTAATTACCAGGTGGCCTTTTACCAATGACTTCTTGTATGACCACAGATTGAAACCCTGATGTCCAGCAGAAGCCTCATAAATGAAAGCCTTTGACCAAAAGGAAGGCTTGATGAGAAGCTGTTCTTAGTATTTAAAATAAGCCCTTACACTACTTCCCACTACTTAACTGGTGATCTTTCCCACAGATTCACTCTTTTTTTAATTAATTTTATTGGTACATTTAAAGTATGCAATATAATGGCATTCTTTGTTGGAAATTTGTACCTTCACATAATCACTCTTGGTTCTTATTTTTTCCCATCCCCCTGTCCTCCCTTCAACCCCTCCCTCCCTATCTGCAAAGAATTAGTTTCCATTACTTTTCATTTTCTCATATTAATTATATTCCCTTCTTTCCTTTCCCCTACCCCTCCTGTTTTCCCTTCCCCTTTGTCCCTTTTCTTCCTATTTTACATTGTCTATTATACCTTTTAGTCTTTATTCACACTTTCAGTTTCTCACCCTAGAGAAACTATTCAGTATTTGCACATGTGTGTCCTATTTATTTCACTTAAGAGTATAGCCTGTATTCTTCCTTTTGAGAGGAGAATGAGCAGTTCCCTGGGGAATCTTACAGGGCCATACATTCAGTCAAGTTCCATGACCCTCAAACACATGATGCCAGTCTGAGCTCACCTTTCACATTCATATTCTTTCTCTCTCTCCTCTCTTTCACTCCCTCCCCGCTCATCCGTTTCCTCTCCGGCTTCAACCTATAGAGCCTTAGCCTCTACCCGTTAGACTACTCAGTCAATAAACCATACTTGCTTCTGTGAGGGCTCTTTTGGAAGCTCCCATCAGATTCAAGGGGCAGCTGCTATTCCTTTTTCTGATGCCCCAAGTTCAGAGTAGGGAAAAGAAAAGGAGCAGGTGGAGATGGGGGTAAGTGAGTAGTAATGTTCTCACTTGAGAGTGTACACAATGAAGATGTTTTAAAACAACCTCGGCTCTTAGAATGCTTGTAGGATACACTGGATCTTCCTGATCACAACAGCTTGACCTGGCAGGTACTTTCTTCAGCTGACTAATGAAAGTATCCTTCAGTTTCTGAAAGGGAACAGCGACGCTCAACAACTAGGCCATGAACACCAAGAGGTCCGACTGGAGACTTTATTCAGGGGAACGGGGTTGGGGAGTGCTGGCCTATTTGTAGAGCTGATGACCAGAGACGTCCTTATTTGGGTGGGGTAGGCTGCCTTTAACCTATCACAAGCCATGTTGCCTTTTAAAGTCCTAGCTTTGCAGCAGCTCTAGGTTTCGATTCTATATGCTGATGTGGTCTTAAGGAAAAGGAAACTTAAGGCAGGGGTATAGGAGAAGAAGGACCCAGAAGTGTGGCCCATAATGGCGGCATCACAATTAATCCCTAACATTATCAAATCTCTAAAAGTTTCTGCACTCAGCAGGTCCCCCTTAGCTGCCATTTGCTGAGATGCTTCCTGTATCTTGACAGGTACATGCACTTTGGGGGAGGATATCTCCTTAAACAACACTGGGACAACATTCTTATGTTGGACTTTAATGCCATGCTAGTTCCCCAAGATTTTCTTATCTTTGACCCGCTGTTGAGATGAAATGCCTTACACATTTAGCTTTTGCTCTGCTTCTACTAGCAGCTTCAGATAACATCTCTCTGGTATGGGTTTTGGATCATCCCACATTTAGGAAAGAATCCACCCACCTCACTAGATCGCAAATTACAGAAGTACATGCTTACCATGCTCCTCACCCTCCTGCATGGGTTAGGAATCAGATATCTACACAAAGAAATTTGTGCAAAATCCTCTCCAGTCTCCAATCAGCATACCCTCATTTAGAATCAGTAAGTAAAGTTACTTACCCGCTTCCTTAAACTTGCTCACTTTGGACCATACTCTGTTATCTGCATACCTTAGTCGAAAGCTAGATAGGATGGTCTCATTTTAAACAATCTAATTTTTTGAAATTTTCAAAGGACTTTTATAAGGCAGGCTTCATATTTCTCTCTTTTGTCCTTCACAGCACCATTTTGTGCCTGCAAAAGTAAAATCTCGACACTATTGCTCCTAAATAAATATATATGTAATGACGAGGCTTAGTTTCAGGTCATGTAGGTAGATTTCTTTTTACATAAAAAGCAATAGTAATGTGTGCATTTTATAAGCAACAAGAGCATCACAGGAACAGGATAAAAATTACTAAAGCGGGTGTAAATAAATATTTGACTTGATTATGGAGTTGCACATTTTAAGGAGACATAAATCATGAAGCATTATGAAGAGCAAGTTAATTGTTCCTAATCCTAATTCTGAGAATAGAGAATTTAGAAAACTGATACCTTCTTTGCATAATTCAGCCACAAGGGAAGTGAGTGGTGTTGGTCCTAGCCTAATTCTCCAGCTGTACAACCTCTTTCTCCCAGAACATAGGGCTCCTTTCATGCCACTTGCTTTGTCTGCCCAGGTATAAGAAGTGTATCGATGCTCTATTGCTGTTATAACAAAGTGCCACAAAGTAGTGGCTTAAAACACAAATTTATTCTGTCCTGCAAATGTGGAAATCCAAAGCTCAAAATGAGTCTCACTGAATAAAAGTCAAGACTGCATACCCTTCTGGAGGCTCTGGGACATAATCCATTCTTTTGTATTTTCCAACTTCTAGAGGCTGCTTTGCATTTCTCATCTCATAGCTCAATCCATCTTTTTTCTTCTTTCTCACTGAGTTTATTGGTACATTTTAGGTATACAGTACAGTCACATTCATCATTGGGCTCTTGCACCTTTACATGACAGCTCTTGGTTCTCATTTTTTCCCCTTAACCCTGCCCTTCCTTTACGCCCTCCTCCCTTCCCTATTTACAAATACTTTATTTCCTTTTTTTCGTTTTCTCATATTTTTCTTTTCCCTTATTTCCCTTCCCCTACCCTTCCCACTTCCCCTTCGCCTTTAGCCCTTTTCTTCCTATTTCACATTTCAATTAGTACTAACAGTTCAAGTTTGCCTCATCTCAGGTAGTGCTGATCTCTGCTTGCATAGTCATATTTGCTTCCCTGACTCTCACTGACTTTTCTGTATGTGATTTCCAAGACTCAAGTGATTCCACATAATTCAAGATTTTCTCATCTTCAGGATAGCTATTAGCAACCTAAATGTCTCTTTTTATGCATAGGTTCCCACAGAGAATAAAAATTGGGACATTTTTGTGGTAGGTTATTATTCTGCCTGCCACACAAGTAATAATCTCAAACTGTACCAAAATCCCTGAATCTCTTTTTAACCTTACCTTCTAACACTATTTAAGAAACAGGTGCCTCTTACTCTAGCCTTTTTTTCTGGCCCTGGCATAATGGACAATATCTAACTAATAATTCCATGGTCTAATGGAACAGGTTTCTAGGCCTGTTTTTTCAGAGATGATATTATTAGAACACACATGCATGCTCATTTGTTTATTGTTCGTTTCTGCTTTCTGGCTCTAATAGCAGAGTGGAGTAGTTGTAACAGGTTGCATGGCCTGCAAAGTCTTAAACATTTATCATCTGGCCTTTTATAGAAAAAAAAAGTAGAGATTTTGTTTTTGCTTGTTATAGAGAGCTGTTCTCTTTTGAGTTATCTTTATTCCTAGGTTCCTATTCCTGCCCTCACTAGAAGCCAAGCATGTGAACCAAGATCTCTCCCCTCCAGGGTACTCTGAACTCCACTATTCACATCACCAGTCCTGCTAGGTTGCCACACACTGATCATTTTCTCAGCCTCAGTCTGATACTTTCAGAAACAGCAACTTCTTGAAGAGAAAAGCAGTGCCAAAATCAGGTCTGCTTCTCTCCCAGACCTTGTTTCCTACAAATCTATTCTATATTAATAGATCACCAAATGTCTAACTTTTCTAATTGTTCTCTGTAAGGGGATTGATCCAAGCAATCTGAGCCTCCATTATGAGAAGAATATTTTAGAAGTTCTTATTGCATTTTTGCTCCTCCAAGGCCTTGTAATAGTGCCTATATTCCTTTATGTCTTGTTCTATTGTCATTTATGTTTAGCTCATAATTTCTTTATGGCTTTTGTGCTCAGTCTCCTAGGCATGATGCTTTCTTGCTTTCTAATGAAAAAGATTTTATGAAATAGTCCAAATCCTGTATAATTATTTTCTCAAACTTGCCCTTGATTCTTCAGAGTAACATTCTCCCTGTTTTGCCCTGATTTTCTGAAAGTGGGATATAATTATGACTAGAAAAACATGAAAAAAAAACATTTTAATATGCTAATTTTGATCTTTCCTCTCATAAGAACATAAGGAAATTTCTTTCTTATTGTTAGCGCTTATTAGTTATAGAGAAGAGTGAGGTTTGTCTTGGCATAGTCATGCCTGCATATAACATACTTTGATCATTTCCCCTCTTACTATTTCCCTCTCTTCCCCAATTCCCTTTTTCTTCTCTAACAGTGAAGCCCTCATTTAATTTTGTTTCTTTCTTCATCTGTCTTCCAAGTCAATTCAACCTTGACAATAATTCAAAATGGACAATAAGTCGATCTCTTTTACATCCACTACTCAGTTTATATAAAGTATCCCCCAAAGATCTGTGTGTGGATGACCTGGTCCCCAACGAAGCAGTTTTCAAAGGTGATTGGTCCATGAAGACTCAACGTCAGCATTGGAGTGATTCACTAGTTGGATTCATAGTGGAATGGACCATCGGGAGGGAGTGGAAACTGTCCTGCTGTCAGGATATTCTTCCTTGCATCAGACCCAAAGCAACAGAGCCAGCCAATCATTGATTAAAACTTCTGAAACCATCAGCCAAAATCAATCTTTCCTCTTTTTGCATTGATTTTCCAGGTGTTTTGTCAAAGTGACAGAAAGCTGACTAACAGACGTAATATACTTCCTATCAGACTTAGTTTCTCATATCACCTTGAAATACTTTTATGTAATTATACTTCTGTTTAGGATGCTACTTAGCAATTGTGAATTAAAGGTCAGCATCTACCACCAGATACAATTCTGTAGAATTTAATCCTACAGTTATCCAGGGACTGGGTTCTTCTCATGATTCCCTGTCGCTGTTCATAAATATTCTATCAGGCTTTCCAAATGCAAAGGGATGGCATGCTTTAAGCAATGAACTACAAAGTGAAAACGAATAGCAGTGTACATGTTTGTCTGTACTAAACTTCATTTTCTTAAAATTACTGATTTGTGATTTGTGATCAAGGAATATGGTATCAGGGAATTTCTTCTTTTATAAGAAGTACTACTGAGTTACAAAATAAGCAATGAAGTAGCCATCTTAAATATTTGCCATTTTGTGCAACTCTACTCAGATGTTTGGGAGTCTTGTAGGTAAATAATATTATACAGCAGTAGATCTGAGTCCTTTCTCCTGTACCTGTAATTCTCTGACACTTGATGACACTAAGCAAAGTACATATCTCTGAGTTTCTCTCCTCTTCCTTAAAATGAGAATGATGATAATGATAAACTTAGCCAACTTCACTAGTTCATTGAGAGAATAAATGGCTAGAAAAGGTGGAAGAATTTTGCAAATTATTAAGCCCTGTGTAAGTCATACTTATTTTTGAAACTATTTCATAATGAAAAGTTAGAAAAAGTCTTTGCTAATGTTAAATCTGAATGGCTACCACTCCTGTAAATCTCTAATTATTCATTCATTCCAAAATCAACATAGAAAATCTATATTTTCTTTATTTTTATGACAGGAGTGTTCCAAGGCAGAGAATATTCTTTCTGTGAAGGATTAAGTTGCTTTAAACATCAGAGGTACTTTTTTTTTTTTTTTTTTTTTTTTTATTTTTTTCTACCAGAGATTGAACTCAGGACCTTGCACTTGCAAGGCCGGAGGCAGAACCACTGAGCTAAATCCCCAGCCCTAGAGGTACTTTTCAAACAAGTAAATGTATCCTGTCTTTCCCTAGGAATCTGTCAGATATCAGCTACTAGCAAATTGCTCAGCCTCAGATGCCTTAGATGCATTCCCTCAGTGATCAAGCAACTCGGAAGAAGTTCAGACCAGCGATTTGAGGTTAAAAAAAAATAATAACTTAAGAGCTAAGACCAGAAGAAATCAATTTCAGATTTTTATTTTCAGTTATAGTCAAAGGAATTTCATGCTAGGCATCATGGCATGTTCTTACTCCCCACACCCCTTACAGGAGAATTAGAAACATGAGCTTACTGCCGAAGGAAAAGACTCAACCCTGAGAATAGGGTTCATTGCTAGAAACAGAAGAAGATGCAGACTGCAGTGGGAGATCCACTCACTAGAACAGAAGACCTTTCTGGGTGTCTTTCAGAAGCATCACTGAAAAATCACTGGGGAATATCATCATTCCAGATGCAAGATTCCAATCATTTGCCTACACAGAAAAGGCGGGAGGATAATGCTTTTGCACTCGTGGTATCAAAACTGAGGAACATTGTTCACTGATATCGTCCTATAAAACTGTGAAATTCATAGTAAGTGAATAATTACTTTTAAATGTGAATTTATTTTTAATATTTTTAAATGTAGTATAACTTCATTATGTCAAAAATGTGAGAAATTTTCTTCAACTAGAAAGTTTTGTAAATGTACTCAGTTTTTACTAGTATGAATAATTGTAAATTTGCATAGCTGGAGTGTTACAGCAATGAAAATGATCAATAAAAGTGTATGACTACTATATTTTCTTTAAAATTTCATTTTCTACAGATGAAATGATTAATGCTATAAAATTTTAATTGGTATCCATTCTTATTTTTAATGTTTCTTGTTATTAGATGATTTTCTTGAGCATCCAAGAATACATGATAAAGATTTGAAATAGTAGAAAGTATAGAATATAATAAAGAAAAATTTATTATGTTCCTATCTAAAATAATATTATTTCATTTTTTAAAAACTTTTTCTTTGCATGCACCCTCCTACACATACCTTTCAAAAATTTGGTCAACTTGGAATTCAGTTTCATTTAATGATTTTGTCCTCTTTATTTAAATTTTGTGAACATTATTCATGTAATTAAGTATTCTTCCAAAACATATTTAGGTAGAACAAATCATCATCTGAATATAATATTTAATCAGCCCTCTATTATTGCACAGTTTAGTCATTTTCAATTTTTTCTGGTTATAAATAATGCTACGACTAGCATCCATGTCCTGAAATTTTTGTTAATATCTTTAATTTATTCCATTAGGTTACTTTGAACTACAATTATTAGGGAAAAATATAGGACCACTTCAAAAAAATCTTAATTCACATAACCAAGCTATTTTGCAGACAGATCCTATTAATTTTTATTCTCACAAAAGGACGTTAAAAATTTTTTAGCTAGCTCTGCCACTGTGTTTAGCTTAAACATTTTTAAGGTGTTCATTTATTAATTGATGGGTGAAATGTACTATTATCTTGAAACATTAATAAAGATAAGCATTTTTCTGTGAATGTTTTATCTTTTGAAATGTCTGCTTATTTTCTTTGAACATTTCTTCTATTATTTGTTGCTATTTTATTCTTTTGTTGGGCTTCAGACATGTACAAACCTTAAGCACAATTAACATTTTCTACTGTTTTGGACCTAATGTGGAGTTTCCAATGTCAATAGTAGTTCGATACTTAGGTACAAAATATTCTGGTTATTTAAAGATTTTTTAAATTACTTAAATCTATGTAGTATCAAGTTGAAATCAAATTGTTTTCAATATCCTTTTTTGAACATTTTGTTCTTCCTTTTTTATAATATTTACTATAGATATAGTAAATTACATAAGGTGAAATTTTTCAGGACTAACTCTGCTGTCCCTTGATGATCTATGTATTACACAAATGCTACACTATTGTAAAACTGTAATTCTATAATATACTTTATTAGTGATTAGAGCAAGTTATTCCCGTAGTAGACATTCTGAAACTAGATTTTAAAATTATATTTCAAGGACCAGGGATTTTGCTCAGTGGTTCCACTACCTGCTTCACAAGCGCAAGGGCCCCGAGTTCGATCCCCTGTACCAAAAATAAATAAAATAAAATTATATTTCAAGACATAATTACCATAAATCTACAAATTAATTATGAAAAATGGTTGCTTTAAGATAAATTGTTTGGATCTGCCCTTACACTCTGCAGATGGAACCAGCCCCTGCACAAAGAGACAGGACACACCCTACGCACCACCAACAGGGCCCACCCCTGTGTGGCATTCACAGCTGGACTCAGCCACCCAGCAATTCCAAGTCCAGTCTATGTTTTGTTTCCCCTTGCTACGGGGAAGGAGAGGTGCCACCCAACTGACAGACCTAATAATGGATAGGATCAATGCTCAAGGAGACAAGGAAAGCCTCAGAGAGTCAGCAGCTCTAGGAAGAAATAATGGACCAGACCAGCAGCACTACCTCCAGGAAAAGCCACAGCTATTGCAAACTGAAAACAATGTGGGGGTTATACTCCAAAAGTGATTCCTTCCTGGCAGGATGGAGTTGGAGAAGAAACCCAGTACAAAATATACAATATTGTCAGATAATTTTTAACCCAGTGTCATTTTAAGATGGAGTTAAGACTGAGCCACAGAAAACTACAGTAAAAGTCCTGTCAGGGTTTCCACTGTTACCTTCCCACAGTGACTGGATCAGAGATAGCCCCAGCAGACAGTCACAGAGATGGTTCAGGCTAAACATGGACTCCATGAGAAATCTAAGCTCAGGCCAGAAAGGACATAGGTCCTGCCCTTTGTAGTGAGAAATAAAGTCTTATAAGAGTGGCCTTCAGAGATTGTTGGATCTAAAAGTGCTGAGATTAAGTCCAGCAGTGCTTGAATGCCCAGAAAATTGTTTATATCCAGAAGAGTTCAGTGATCTGGTTGCTTTCCCCATCTATCAGTGTGACCGCTTACATGCCTTACCTTGGATGACTGTCACTATCTGTAGTATATAGACATAGGGGCTTCTATGGGGTGGGTTATACCTCAAAAATCTACAGGCCTTAAAGCTATTCAGAGAAAATTGTGATTTTCTGAATGCCAAGACTGCAGATTCTGGAAAGAGACCACTCATTCGAAAACACAGAGGCTTTTCTTTTTTTTATTGGACTCAATTTCTTTTCTCTTTTATTTGTCTTTTTTGGGAAGAGGGGTCTGATTTTGTCTTTTCCTTTTTTCTTTCCATTTCTCTTTTTTATTTTTTTCTTTCTGCTTTTCGTTTCTTTTTTTCTTTTAAATTTTCTGCTACTTTTATGTAACACTTTTAATATCCTTTTAGTCCTTGTTAGGATAATGCCCTTGCTAGGATCACTTTCTCTCCTCCTTCTTATCTTCCATTAATTAGTTTTTCAAATTCTAATTTTTTTCATTTCTGGTTTTCTATCCTTTCAGTATTACTAGTTACTAGCATAACCACTAAGCTTAATAAATCTTTAGATAGTTACTAAAAACTATGCTAACTGTTGAATATTGTTCTATTGTTAGTGGAGGTTTGGTTGCTACATTTAGCAATTTTTATTCCATGCCAATATTTTGTATCTCATGATGTTTATACTATAATTATAGATCAGTTTTCTGTGGTTAAGTATGGTAAGCTACTGGTTCTTAGGATATGACAATATCCACGTTATCTGTGATCCTATTATTCTTACTGATTTCACTGCTTTTGCCAAGGTGTCATTGCTGTTGACACTAATTGGTTTTATCTTTATGCCAACATCAGGCTTTCATCTGTGTTATTAACAATATTGTGGGGGGCAATTCCAGGAGAACTGGATGCTGGGTCAAATATACTGCAGATTCTCCTCTCAAATGAACAAAGCTGGTTGTATCTTGGGACAAAGACAGAAGCCTATAGCTTGCTACAACCAGAATGCACTACTGAAAAACAGATATTATCTAAAGAGATTTCCATACTAGTAACAAAATCTATTTTCAACCTGCAAACCTTAGCACAAAATGAAACAAGAAAAAGATAGAATTGTGGGAAAATAAGAAAATGACTCCAAAAACTTCCAACTCTTCTAAAGCTGATCCATAGGGCACCAAGAGGGAGGAGCCAATTAATTAAAAGGATGACAGTGGAGGTTAAAAATCAGATTGATAACATGTTCAACAAGCTCAAACAAAAAATAATTAAAGAGATAGTATACTTTAAAAACAAAACAATATCAAGAAACTAGCTGAGTTGAAAAAAATGACACAAAATAGGAATGACCAGTTTAGCAGAGATCATTTAAACAGTACATTTAAAAAAGGATTAAAAAGCTGCTAGATGAAGCAAGAAAGAATAATCCAAGATTAATTTTAATTAGCAAAAACTCAGAAGTCAGCATAAATGACATAAAAAACAAGTATACAGAAATAATAGTAGAGAACTTTCCAAATATGGGGAAGGAATCTAACATACAGATAAGTGACGCACTCACAACCCCAAATAGCCAGAATCAGAAGAGAAAGTCTCCATGAGAAAGCATAGGCAAAAGCCCAGAAGTCCAACACAAGGAATGAAACTTAAAAGCTGTCAGAAAAAAGCAACAAATCACATACAAAGATAAACCTATTAGAATTACAGCAGATTTCTCAACACAAACATTAAAGCCCAGAACACATTGAAGTGAAATGTTTCAAGACCTAAAATAAAACAACTTCCAACCCAGACTTTTATATCCTGCAAAACTATCTTTCAAAGTTGAAGAAATAGTCTTTACATGACAAAGAGTACCTTAAGAAATTTATAACAAACCCAGCATTCCAAAAACTTCTCAAGAATACCCTAGAAATAGACTATGAAGATAACAATGCCAAAAAGTCTAATAAAATGAATATAATAGGCAAAGTGAGCAGTTCAGTAGAAAAAGGAAACTGCAAGAGGAAAATAATGTAATGGGAGAAATACCTTGCAATAACTTGCAATAATAACTGATTCTGAATGTTCTAAATTCCCCAATCAAAATATACACATGGCAGGATGGAACAAGAAACAAATTCTAATGGTATGTTTTAGATTTCTTTCTCTCATTGAGTTTAATGGTATGTTTTATACAAGAGATGCATATACCCCCAAAAAGTCATAGACTAAAATGGAAAACAGTATTCCATGCAATGTAAACCAGAAAATAGATAGTAATAGCTATCCTATTTTTAGATAAAGTTGACTTCAAGCCAAAACTAATCAGAACAGGCTAAAAGGGCACTATGTATTGGTTAAGGAAGTAATTCAGCAAGAATAGATGACAGTTACAAACATATATGCACCAAACACCAGGTACCT